AGAATCAGAGTCTCTGTGGTCAATGGCCCAGAAGGCCTTGGGCAAATCAGTTGTAGAATCTGCAGGTGAAGACTGGTGAACAGACTTGTGCCCTCTGCATTCACAATCAGCAAATAACTGGGTGATCTTGATCAAAAAGTCTTTCATGAGAATGGTAAAAAGGGTCAAGCCACACCCAGCGGAACCAAAGATGACTCTAAGGATGGAACAGACTCTAAGAGCCAAGGATAACATAATTCAAGGCTGCAGACATCAGCACCATCTGTAGGCTTTCTGCAAGCGGCAGTAGTGCTGTTAGTCAAATGTGAGCTGGGGGCACCCGGTACACTGTCACTGTGACCCCTAAGGTAAGGCCTCTGGTATTTACAACAGCTGGTTACAGATAATAGGCGGATGGGTGGAGGTGGGCAGCAGGAACAGATTGAAGATCAAAGTTCCACATGGGCCTTTGCAAGCAGGAGCAGCAGAAGGGAGATGCTTCCTCAGCGATGAGCGGCAGGAAAGAAGAAATGTATGACACTCCACCCAGTGCATGATGTCAGCACAGTGCTGACACAGTAAAACTGTCAGGAATGGGGAATAAAGACACCCAGCGGTGTGGTAGCTCCCGGTACTTGGCTTATTCACTAAGCACGATTTCACAGACATGGCAAGCGTCGAAGCATGGCTAGTGGCTCTGGATCTGGAAGGCCCTCTGCAGCGGCCCTTGATTCAAGAAAAAATCAAAGGAGAAAAAATTGCTAGCATAAAATTACATGTTATATATATAATAAACAGTTTAAACCATAAATGCAAATTGATAAAAATGATGAATATACACTGAGTGGCCAGATTATTATGACCACCTCATCAGTACTACGTTGGGCCACGAGATGACTCCACGAGATGACACCATGAGATGACATCGTTGGGCCGCCTCGTGACTCCACGAGATGTTGAAAGGTGATGCGAGGAATCTGACACTGCACTGTTGCCCTTCTGTTGTCTTGTACCAGTCTTGCCACTCTCCGTTCTGCCCTAACATTGACTAGTCGCTGACGGCCACAATTCGCACGTTCAGACCCAGATTTTCGGCTGACAGTCCAGTCTTTAAACACTTTAACAACAGCTGCTCTTGAACATTTAACGAATTCTGCTGTTTTGCTGATACTCGCTCCATGGCTCGAGCGCCAACAATCATCCCACGTTCAAAGGCTGTTAAATCGCGTTGTTTCCCCGTATCTTCAGAAACAAATCACTTCTACTGTCGTGGTAAACAACCTGATCCCCTATTTATAATGGTCTGGCCCTCTAGCAACTTCAGCGCAAAATCATAGCTAATTTGCCTACAAACGTCAGGTGGTCATAATAATCTGGCCACTCAGTGTATTTGTTTCATGGTCTGAAAGGCTCAGACCACCTAAGTGTGAAAGCAATGCTCATTGAATGAGCTGATAATCACAAATATAGAAGTTTCCATGCACACATTGGATGTTTACCACTAACATAGCTTTTTGTCTTTTGGACTTCCTGATACTTTCTGTTAGCTTCCATTTTAGGGTGGTTCCCTGTATATATTTAATACTTTCTATATTATTTGTAGTATGATTTGATCTTAAATCTCTGAAATGAACCTCCTGAGGAAGCCCTTAAGAGGTGAAACACATTGATACATTCAGAGACCACAGTTGCAATTCCATCATCACAGTGTTCTGAACTGGATTTATGATGCCCTTGTCTTTTGTTTTTACTACGGACTTGGTGTCTGTTTTTAATGCTGGAAATAAAATATGTACATTTTTAAAATACAAGTATTTTGGACTATGTAGCTCTGAATGCTGTTGAAAGCCCCTTATTTCTTGAGTTTTTTGTAGTTCATCTCTGAATTGATACTGACTGAATTCATACTGACACTGTCCTTCCTTCTGGAGGGGGGCTACTTTTGTTCCCCATGGTCCCTGAGTGTGTTGTAAAGTAGCCACCACTCGCTCCTGTGATGGACTACAATCTTAATACAAATTAGTAAACTAAACATGAAATTGTAGTCCATCACAGGAGCGAGCTTGGAGCGGTGGCTACTTTACAACACACACAGGGACCATAGGGAACAAAAGTAGCCACCCTCCAGAAGGAAGGACAGTGTCAGCACCAATTCAGAGATGATTTGGGGATCTACAGCTGAGTGATAAACAAATAAGATACATTGTTGTTAATAGTTAAGTTACTTGAATGCATTTTTAAGATTTAATTTCTGAGTTTAGTGTCACTTTACATGCCAAACAATGCATGGAATACTTCCCAGTGGCCTTTTGATGACGGCAGCCTCCAAACGATTGTTGGTGGAGAATATCATTGGGAGTCTGCTGAGCGCTGTGGTGTGCATTTTTTTTAGTGTCACTTTACCTGGAAAGGTGTTAGGTTGGTAGGGTAGCATTGACTCATTAATCATTGGGTGTATACCCCACAGTGCCTAAGGGGGTGATACCTGGTATCTAAAAAGATGAGTGGTGTCACAAGAGACTTCTGACATCACAAGCACTACTATTGCCCAACCTGTCGGTCCTGGTTATGAAAGGAACTGGCGTTTTCTTCTTAAGAAAACAGGTTTAGCCCGTTGTCGTTGTTCTTGAATCAGGAAGAGTCACAATTTTCGGATGACTCAGGGCCACACGTGCTTACACTGTACAGACACAGCAGCAACCACACCATGTCATTTATAGATGATGTATCATTATCTAATTCACTAATAAATACACAAGTGGAATACAACCAGAGGAAGTGTAGTAGTAGCTGTCACATGATTTGTAAAGTCATGTGCTTACGACGTGATTTATCATTGTTGATGATTTGTCTGATGCTGAAACTGTACTTTGGGGAATTTATTAAAACTGGAGCCGAGAGAATCTGCCCATTTCAACTAATCAGCTTCTCTCTTCAGTTTGTTTAATTAAGCTTTGAAAATGAAAGAGAGAAGCTGATTGGTTGCCATGGACAACTGCTCCAGATTCTGTCTGCTCCAGTTTTGATTAACTCCCCTCATTGTGTATTTGTGAGCTGGTTTGGTTGAACGCTATGATGAGAAAATTATTGAGGGATACAACAACACATTTGAAAAAAAAGACGCATGTTAGTAAATAAACCCTTAATTCCTGGTATGCTGGTATATGTGCCAGACATAAGAGAGACATAAGCTGCCTAGTGAGAGACATACATTGTCTGCTGGGCTATGCGGTTCTACAGCACCAAGCGATTTGTCCTCCCTAGTGGTAGAGAAAGGTAACCGTATTTAGACTGGGATGCTGGGATATGTAGTTCTTCAGCAACAGGAAAGGCAAAGGATGCCAATCAGAAATCTGCATTGCTTAGCCTGGCTCTGCTGGGATATGGAGTTCTACAGCAACAGGAAATACAAAGGATGCCAATTATAGATTTACATTGCTAAGCCTGGCTATGCTGGGATCTGTAGTCCTACAGCAATACAGGGAATATGCAGGGAAATAAATACATAAATAGGTTGTGTATTCTACACAAGCTGGTATATGTGGTTGTGCAGCAGCAGGAAGGTTAAAGGCTACATGATTCATCATTTTTCTATCCTGGCCATGCTGAGATGTGTAGTTCTACAGTAGTTGAAGATATACAAGGGAGATACAAAATTTGCTCATTTTCTACATGCTGGATATGTAGCTCTAGCAGCAGACATGGCATAGCATGCCTATTTACAGAAATAATCCTTGCCTGAATGTGCTGGGATATGTAGTTCTACAGCAAACAAAAGCATAGGCTGACTACTGATTGAAATACATTGGATGGCTGTTCTTCTGGCACTCTCCTAGTCAGACATAGGTTTGATCATGCTGGGATATGTAGTACTACAGCAAACAAAAGCATAGGCTGACTACTGATTGAAATACATTGGATGGCTGTTCTTCTGGCACTCTCCTAGTCAGACATAGGTTTGATCATGCTGGGATATGTAGTACTACAGCAAACAAAAGCATAGGCTGACTACTGATTGAAATACATTGGATGGCTGTTCTTCTGGCACTCTCCTAGTCAGACATAGGTTTGATCATGCTGGGATATGTAGTACTACAGCAAACAAAAGCATAGGCTGACTACTGATTGAAATACATTGGATGGCTGTTCTTCTGGCACTCTCCTAGTCAGACATAGGTTTGATCATGCTGGGATATGCAGTTCTACAGCAAGGAAAGGCATACGCGGACTACTGATTGAAATACATGGTGATGGCTGCTCTTCTGGGGTCTCCTAGTAGTCAGATACAGGTTTGACCATGCTGGGATATGTAGTACAGCAAGGAAAGGCATAGGCTGACTACTGACTGAAATACATGGTGACGGCTGCTCTTTCGGGGTCTCCTAGTAGTCAGATATAGGTTTGATCATGCTGGGATATGTAGTTCTACAGCAAGGAAAGGCTGACTGACAACTGACTGAAATACATGATGATGGTTGTTGTTGTGGGGGTCTCCTAGTCAGACATAGGTTTGATCATGCCGGGATATGTAGTCCTACAACAAGGAAATGCATAGGCTGACTACTGAATATAATTCCATGGTAAAGGCTGTTCTTGGTGTGATCATGTTGGGATATGTAGTCCCCCAGCAGGAACCTCAGTCTAGTAATGGAGACTGTGACTGGCATTTCTCTCTACAATGACACTGGTTGCCTTGGCTGCGATCTGCATTTCTAATGCAATCAATGGGAGAAGCCTGTCAGGCAGCGAGGATCTGTCATCAGCGACAGCCCGTCCCCCAGCCATTCCTCTGCTAACTTTGAATCGACCTCTGCTTGGGTGACAGTGTGGGGCCCCTCCCATGGGGCGGGGCCACACCTGGGGACAGGTGCAGGGAGCAGTCAGGAGGAAATCACATCCAGATCTTCTTCCAGCAACCTCCTGACATGTCCCAGCCGGACTCAGTGCACGGGGACCTGCAGCCCCCACTATGGGTCATCACAGGCTCCCACTTCTGGACTGGCACAGGACTGCAGCCTGCTGACAAGGACACCAAGTCTCCCTTTGCTGTTGAGTGGATCCCTGATGGCCAGGTGGCCACCTTGTCCCTGGACCCCTCTGGGAAAGAAGAGACCATTGATCTTGGAGAGAACCCCTTTGGGGATCCACCACCTCCCTACAAGCTGCAGGCGCCAAAAGGAAGATCTTCCTCTGCCCAATCCTCCATGTCAGACACCTGCAGGGACCATGGGAACCAGCTGAGCCTCTTCTGCTACCAGGACCAAAAGCTAATCTGCCACCAGTGCAAGTCCCATGGGACCTGCCAATCACACAAGACCAAGTCAGCGGAGGAGAGGGCAACCCAGCTGAGGGTGAGTGCAGATCTGCCTCCTATGTACTGCTGCATTGCATATGTGTCCATCTTCACTGCTCCTGTGAAGTAGGGTTATTATCATGGAGGTGCTGGCATTTAAAGGGTTAAACCATGGCACCCACCCCTGGACGGGAGGGAGGGTGCTGGAGCAGTGCAGCAAAGATCAGACTGCGGGCAAATCTCAGTGACTCAATGCAGCAGAGGGAGAAATAAATAGATCTGCTATGCATCACTATTGAAGTGTGCCAGGTTTCAATTCATCATGAGAGGCAAGGGAGGGGTGTGAGATCCTACAGTGAGTGCAGGTGAACTGTGCACCATTTACAACACAGAGACTGCCAAGTGGGAGGGTGCCAGGCACTTGTTCCGCAGATAAACTGCCCTATGTGAAACGTCTCACGCCTTTGGGGTGACTGCAGGCGCATAAAGAGGACCTGTGATGAGGCACATCAGGTCACCAGGAGATTGTGGCTTGGGTGTTGTCATGGTAAATGCCAATGGCAACACCACTTGCTCATTTTCCTGTTCCACTAATGGACTGTGGGAGCCAGGACTGTTGGCTCTGTTATATGCGCACATAGGAGGGCGAGGATTTGTTACTGTGCTGAATCACACACAGGGAAATGTATCAAAACTGGAGCAGGCAGAATCTGGAGCAGTTACCCATAGCAACCAATCAGCATCTATCTTTCATTTTAAAAGCCTAAATTAACAAATTGAAGAGAGAAGCTGATTGGTTACTATGGGCAACTGCTCCAGATTCTAATTGCTCGCGTTTTGATAAATTGCCCAAACAGAATACTCTAAGTGCCTGTTCACACGACGTCCGTTTTGTGTACTGACCTGATCCGTACGTTCCTGCACTCAAAATGCATCCCAATGTATTTTATGGGCTACAGTTCTCACGGGCGCAGTCCGTTCAGGTTACGACAGAAAAATACTGCATGTCACATTTTGTACGGTCAGGAAAGGCAAACGCATCGGAAACGCATCCAAAACGCACTGCATCAGTAGCACCGCGTCTGCAGATCCGGACCTGATCAGGACCTGAAACTCATGTGAACAGGACCTAAGGGCTTGATAAGTGTTGTGATTAAAGAGTAGCTCCAGCTAAAAGTTTTGTTTTTGGGTCTTGAATAGACTATGGAGGGGTGTGAACCTCTGTTAGGTCTATACTACTGTGTTCTCATTGGGCAGATATTCCCCCAATGAAAGTCAGAAGCTGATTGGTCACTGTAGGCAACTTCTCCAGATATTGGGGGGGGGGGGGGTTTTAAAAAAACTGGCGAAAGGCAACTTCGCCAGATTTTGGGGGGGGGGGGGGATTTATCAAAACTGGAGAAGACAGAATCTGGAGCAGTTGCCCATGGTAACCAATCTGCTTCTCTCTTTGCAAAACTTAAGTGAACACACTGAAGAGAGAAGCTGATTGGTTACTATGGGCAACTGTTCCAGATTCTGTCTTCTCCAACGCCCCGCTGTGCCTGTAGAACTGAATGAAATTTCACTTGTACATTATGCCCATATGCAGAGGAGCCGTCGCTCAGATCTCTACTTTGTGGGCGCACATGCGATGTTGCGTGCAATCCCGCATTCCAAAATCGCATTTTGCAATGTTAGGTGAGCTGCGGTGCCTTTATTTCTTAATAATACGCCAACGCACCTAACCATCGCATGTGTGTTGCATCACACCACAGTGCATGGTAACCTATTACCATACGTTGTATTGTGATTTTAAAGGCTAAGTTCACCTTTCTGGCCATGTTTAATGTTACACCTGTATTTAGGGCGTAACATAAAACATGGCTACATTGCACGTCCCCCCTTCCTGCCCCCCCCACCTGAATTGCAGGGTTCTTCTCCCCACAGGCTTGTTTACCTTTTTCAATATGGCACAGCTGTGTAGGTGGCAGCTGTGCCATCTATTCACAGATCCTTTGCAGCATCTGTCAATGAAGAGACCACAAGTCCCATCAGCCACTGTGGCAGAGGGTTTTGTAGTTCTCATACAATGGAATACAAGTGCGGTGACATTCCTGCACTTGTAGTCTATTGGCACTTCCTGTTCTTGTTACTGAATGTCCATAAAGAGGTATGAATGTGAACGGGAGGAAGAGTCTGCAGGAGTCAGAGCATTGCACCTGCAATCCACAGATCACAGTTGCAATATTATACTGACTCCAATGCCAAAAAATATGCACATTTAAGGAAGACATTACAATCACAATACAATTCAAGACAAGATGGTAAGGAGGTCTGGTAGGAATTTTAGGAGGGGCCCCATTTAAAAAAAAAAAGTTATACCAGGCCCTTAAGGTCTGGTAGGAATTTTAAGGAGGAACCCCACCCCCAAAAATGGGGGAAAAAAACATGGGGTCCCCCCTAAAATTACATACTAGACCCTTGATCTGAGCACAGGCCTGGCAGGGCAATAAAGGGACGGACGAGCCAGTGTCCTCCCTCCTTGCGATACCAGACCACATGGGGCCTCTTCCCCACAAGCCCTGGGGCGTTGGGGGCTTATTCACATCAGAGTACCCCTTTAATAAAGGGGCACCCAGATGCGGCCCCCCTTGTGAATGAGTAAGGGGTACTTGTACACTAAAGGGTTAAATAAAAGTTTTTAAAAAAGAGGCTAGACTTTTGAGAAAATCCTTTATTTGAAAAAAAAACAAAAAACAAAAGACGAGTTTTTGACAAGTCTTTTATTAAAAAAAATAAAATGGATGCACCAACGTAATCCAGGGTCAATCACAACGTCCAGTGTTGTCCACGACGACTCCACGAAAATAAAAAATAAAACAAGAAAAAAAAGAATATAGAAAAAGAAATAGAAATAATAATTCAAAACAAAACCATGCCTGCCAACCCATCCACTTGCGATGAACTCCCGCCGCAGAATGGCATTCTGACAGATGCCGGCAAAATATAAACAATTGGGTGGAGCTAGCGGTGACAGCTAGCTAGCTCCACCCAACTGTTTACAGCTGTACGGCATCTGACAGGTGAGCCATGATTGGTCAAATTCATCAAAGTCATCATTTCTTTGCACAATTATGGCTCTTACAGAGTACTGTGCCCTGCTTGGGCAAAGTCTTGCTCCTGACCTGCGGTCAGGCGCAAGGCTTTAGCCAATCAGGGCTCACAAGGCACTGTGCGGTTTGCCCGCCGAACTCCCTGACAGTTCTTCTGTTCACCGAACACACGAACTGCTGATGTACGGGTCGAACTCTTGCTCAACTCCAACATCGAGCCCATCCCTAATTGCTATTAGGAGTGGGATAGAACGTATGGAAATTCAATATAAAAATACATGTTTATTTTTTTCGTTTTTACCATAGATACCCCTTATGGTAAACACTGTAATAATAACTTATGATAGGTGTCCTTTGAGAATAATGCCTGCTTCATACATTGAGAGATTCTGGTTTCTCGTGTGAGCGGCGTTCATCTCTCTAGCTTTAGAAGAGAGAGACATCTTGATATTTCATTTTGGAATGTAGAATTGATCTCGTCCATCCAGATAAACACTCAGCATGAAAGAAAAAAGGTTTTGGGTTGTAGAGGGAGATCACAATACATCATTCTCTACATCTGCGGCACACACAATACTCTCTTTATACCCTCCCGAAAGTCTTGGCTCCCATTGTGCATATCAGGAAGCACTGGGAGAGTTGGGT